CTAAAAAGCATGATATTGTACCGAAATACCCGATATATAATAATAATAATAATAATAATAATAATAATAATAATAATAATAATAGACAAAAAAATATAAAAATTCGCAATACATGTGCGGTCATTTTAATATTTTGTTCGTTTGATATCGTTCGCTTTTGTGCAATATGCTAGACAAATATGTGCAATATATATAACTCTAATGTGCACTCGCAATACATAAAAAAATAGATTCAAAAATAATATTAATATAATAATAAATAAATAAATATCGATAATATTCTTTTTCGTATAGTTCGGCATGTGCGGTCATTTTATTATATTTTTTAAAAAATAATTCTGATATAATAAAGTGCAACGTGATGTTTTGTAAAGTGCAAATTGTTATTTTATAAAGTGCGACGTGTTGAACTTTTAGAAAAAGTTAAATCGAATAGAAGTACTTGGTTTATTTGGGCTGTTAGCCGAATTAACAGAAAATATATTAATTGAATTATACTTTATGTTATAAGAAAATACTGTTTAAAACGTTAAGAATTTTATATATTAGTTTTATATAATTTTTGGTTGAAAAAAATTAGTCCCGTCAATTTCTCCCTGATAGTCATGATAAAGTGCAGTGTGATGTTTTGTAAAGTGCAACTTGATATCTTATAAAGTGCAACGTGTTGATGTATAAGTTAACTGATGTAATTTTTTTGTACGTTTTTTTGTGTGGATAAATGATGTGATTAATGTTAAAATAATATGTACGTAGCCAACGCTTGGATCCGACTCTACCCAAACTTTTCTGATTCGCCCCAACATTCCCACTTGTCCGACTGTTGCTGAGCAGTTTTTGGATATCAACCGTTTTTTATATTTATGTTGTGTAATTTTCGTGGGAGATGTTGACGTCAATAATCGTGGAGTATGTTACTGTGTTGATAAAGTGCAACGTGTTGTGTTGTAAGGTGCAACATGTTTTATAATGTGCAACGTGCTGCTATATAAAGTGTTGATATATAAAGTGCACTACTTTATATTATTTATTTATTTATTTATTCATGTTTTATCTATTATTTTATTTTATTATTACATTATTTTAATATTTTATATTATTTTTATTTAATATTTCATTTATTATTCAATATGTATGTATAAAAAAATATAATAAATAACATATAATAACTTTCATTAATTACATATTTGACATGTGTACTAAATTGAAATATATTTAAAATTTACAAAATTGCACTAAGGTCCTTGGACATTTTCTAATTTTCAAAAAAAATGGCCCAATTCCATTTTCGGTTTGCAGGTGATCGAGGAAGGAATTCATCTTCTCTGGACGCGGTTCTCCGGCCGATTAGAAAGAATCAGAGAGGGTCTCGTCGAACGTCTGCTCCAATTGCACCGGGAGCTTCTTTTTCGTGTTGGTGGAAGTTAGTGTTGGTCGTGAATGGAAGTCGCCGGAGTTAGGCGGTGATGGCAGAGTTTTCTATTGTGTCAAGGTTGGCCGCGAATGGGAGGTCGTCGGAGTCAAATCGAGACGACTGATGAAGGCGCGAAGACGATGGAGGAATGGACGGGATTTTGTAGATGAGGTGCGGTGGCGACGGTGGCCCGACGACGACTGAGGCATGACAGAGGCGGAGTAGGCGGCACGACAGCGACGGCGGAGACGACAAAATCTGTTGCTCATAGCTGGAGACGACGAGCGCAGACGTCTAAGTGTGCGATGGTCTGGGACGAGGGAGTGAACGACGGATTTGCAGAGGCGCGACGGCGGTGGCACGTCGACGGCGGAGGTGTGGCAGAGACTGAGTCGTGATGACGACGGCGACTATGATGGCTGAATGTTCGCCAGCGAGTGTGTGTTCTGCCGGCGAGTGTGTGCTGTGTGTGTGTGTCGCGTGTGTGTGTATACTGTGTGTGTAACGCGTGTGTGTGAGGGAGGGAGATAGTGTATGAGAGAGATAGAAATGATGACATGTATTTATTTTCAGTTGGCAGGTTTCTTAAATGTGTATTAATGAATTAATGGGTGGGACCCACTTCTTTGAATGTGGTGTGAAAAAATACCATAATACCCTTAATGAATGTATAATTTTGACTTTTTTTTAGCCATTAGATCATCCGATCTAATGACCACGATTCATTCTCATTTCTTTCATTGAGAAACATTTTCATGTGAACCCAACCCTATACATACATATATATGTATATATATGTATATATATATATATACATATATATGTTGCAAATATGTATCAGAAAGCATGTTATGGCATTACTATGATGTAGTAGAAATCTATTCAGTGATGAGATATCAAACAAGCAAGCAATTCCTTGTGTTTTTCGAAACTGATTGGTAAAAATTGAAGTAAATGAGTAAAGAGGATACTACTCGGTAAGAAATGATGAAATATGCCTTTTTAATCTTACCAAATTGCCAGATATTGGAGATGAGATTGGAACTGTGAAGCCTGGTGGTGCACTTAGATATGGTTCCTGACACATAAAAGTATATGAATAATCTGGAAAAAAAAAAAGAAAAGAAAAAAAAAATCTGGATTCAAATTAATGATTTACCCCTTTAACCAAAATTTCTCCAATCCTGTTTTGCCTCATTGGAGACAAGCTTCTGTGCCTAAGAGTTTCAGAAGGAGACTGCACCTTTCCATGAGAAAATAAAAAAGGCTCGAATTAAGTGACTGAGTGATTCAATGTTAACAGAAATAAAAAAATAATAAGTTAAAAAAAACAGAAGTTAAGTGAAAAAATAAAGCAACTTTAGGTGGCTCGTGGTCGAGCAACTGAAGATAGCTTAGAGCGCCAACATTCCCGATAGTCCCTGTGTAAGTCCACTTTCGAGTTCTACGCGGTGGGAAAATATGGAATTGTCGATTTTGAGATGAAACCTAATTGAGAAAAAATCACTTATTATATAATGAAATAACAGAATTATATTCAGCAAATGTATCAAAAAAGTATTATCATCAGATCATGCACTTTTAGTATTTCTCATGATTTTTATCTACCTTGTTTTATTTATTTAATCATGTGCAGCTTGCATATTTTTAGTTTAAGAAGAAAAAACATAGATTTTTTTGTTTTTTTTTTTTAAAAAAAAATTAGACCACAACTTCAGAGGAGCTATCAATAAACGATGTGTTAACTGAACGACTGTAAAATCCCGATGTGTTTTGCCTCTCTTGCTAATTCTACTGGTGGTGAGAATTCGACTTCCCTCTTCCCCTCATTTTCACGTTGGCTCTTGAATCCCTTCAAAAAGGAAGTAAGAAGAAAGACAAAATTTGGTTAACAAGAAATGAATGAACTGGACAATGAATTAGAGTGTCTAAAAGGGACTTGATGCATGTATTTTTACCTCAGAAGTTCACAAAGTACCAAAACACTAACGGCATGCATGTATTTACATTTCATAAGAATCATTTGAAAAGTTTTCTAAAGTGCTTTTCCTCTCATTTTTCAATTTGTTTCAGTCCAAGCTCCAAGGAAAAAAAGAAAAGTCTAATTCAAAATACAATATTAAATACTACCACCTAAACATTCACATAAACATGAAAACATAAGACTCCATAGCTAACATACAGTACATACTATTATAATTTAGACTTAAATACTACCAGTTAAACAAAAATGATAAGTAACTTGTCTCATAATATTACTAACATAACAATTTATTGATACACTTTCGCTTCCCGCAAAAATTCAACAATACACGAGCTTAAAAACTCCGATTGATAGTAAAAAGAAAAAATGTATCCTTTTACTCAAAGTAATCACAGAAAGAAAGAAAACTAGAACATTCGAACCGGAATATTTGAATATTAAGGGAAAGTAATTTAGAATGATCATATTACTGCAAATAGAAGAAATGTCACAAAAATCCCGTATTTGGATGTTACAAAGAGTCTCCACACTCTGGCCTAGCTATGATTTTCATTTCCATATTGTAATGGACAAGATATTCATCTTTCTCTTGTGTATCAATAGTTAGGAACTATACAGCATTAGGGCCATCATAATTTTCATCTGGGACGGGTTTGGTATATATCAGTTTACCTGTTACTGCAAAAGTAGAAAGCAAATTATCAGAAAATCAGGGCTTACAGATAAGATAAATCATCATTTTTGCAACTATGCCAAAAAGACAATTTAACAAGCTACTGAATAGTTTTTCCGTAACATGTGAATGAAGAAAGATAAAACTGAGAGTTACAACAATAAACGGCCCTGAAAAATATGAACGTGTTTCAAAACAAGATATTCAAACTCCAAAAGGTTCTTTTGTTTAATCTCTGCAGGATATGAAATACTTTGGAGCTATGAACTTCAACCATATCTCTGAAAATTTCATATTTCTCAATAATTCAGAAATGAAGAACGCTGATATTCGTAGTTTTGCCATTCATACTTTATTCCTTTTCATTCCTTCAAGTCAACACACAATCATATATTCGAGATTCGATTCACTTCACCTAGCAGAAGAAATCCGCATCCATCATTCAACTCTTCTAAACTCATGTTGAGACAAAAGGAACAATTTAAGCACAATGTAAATGTAACACTTAAACTGCAAAAATAGCACCTCCAGATATTCCACCGGCACTCTGACCCATCCCGTGGGCTGCTTTATTAGTCCTTGTCTGTTCCAAATACAGTTCTTCATGTTTGCATTGAAATCAAGAAGTAACACAAAAACCACATATCGCAAGCACATTTCTTCACAGAAACCCGACATTACCCAGAGCGGAACTGTTCTATCAGCTTCATTAAACTATACGTCTCGGCATCCGGCCTACACCCGTCCAAAATCATCCGCCGGAGGAGATTAGGCTCGTAAACCTTGGCCTTCACATACGCCTTAATTAGCGAATTGTACACAAAAGTGTACCTCGTAAAATTACCCCTCTTCAATTCCTCAAACAGTCTCTCGACATTATCCACGTCACCACGCTCCGCAAAGATCTCTAGAATCAAGTACGTGGTCTCTAACCAAGGGGTTGACCTTTTGACTTTATCGCTCGTCTCAAATCCCATCCCCAATTCAAGGGTCCTAACACCTTCTTTCACAAGCCCGGCACGCAAACAGCCGAGTGCGAGATGCCTGAACGTGATGGAATTTGGCTTGCAAAGTTTTTTCTCCATGTCTTTATACAACCCGGTAGCTCTCGTAACGAGCCCATTCCTGCAGTGAACCCCAATCATCGAATTGAAGTGCTCGGTCGATTCTAGTCCCTTTTCGGATGCCATCTGAAGCCATATCTCCTCTGCCCGACTGTGATTCCCGGCCCTCCCAAAGGCCTCGACTGCCAGCACATAACTCTTGCTCCTGACATGTGGCAGCCCTCGAATTCGAGCCCAAGTCTTCTCCAGCTCCTTCTCACTCCTTAGGTAACCGTACAGCATCACGAGAATGTCCAGTGTTGACCAGTTATGACCCGTCATGCACTTCTCGATTTTTTCGGTGTAGGACCCGCAAGCGATGTACAACCTGGCCACGGCATGAGAAACGGCCATGATGCAGTACGTGATCTCATTCGGTTCGACGGAGGCTCGTTTCATGTCTCCAAAGACTCTAACCAAGCCCTCGATATTGTGCTTGTCGGCCTCGATCTTTAACAAGATGTTGTATGTGGAGGCATGAGGGATGACTTTATCGGCTTTCATCTGAGTCAAGATTTTGGGGATTGATTTGCGGCGGCTCAGGGAGGAATGGAGAATGATCAAGCGGTTGAAAACTAGGTACGATATAGGGTGGCCCAATTCCCTCATTTTTTTCATGTAAGCTCGAGAGAGACTTATGAGGCCTTTGTCTAGGCAGCCGAGCACTAGGTTGTTGTAGAGGAGCCCGTTTTGGAACTCGGATGGGATTCGGGAGAACAGGGTCTCGCCCTGTGGAACACCGTGGTGCTTCATGGTGAACTCGAGTAGGTACGAGTAGTCCAGTTCTTTTGGCCTGTAAGGTCTCTCCCTTATGACCCACTCCATTACCTGATCAAGAAATGTGCAACAAATAGTCCATCAAGATCTATTCAGACAACAATAACTAAGAGATGTGTGTTAAAGATACTATAGCCCTAAAATGTGAATCCTAAAACCCTGAAGAAGAACCTGAAAATAATAATAAGTATACAATCAAAACCCAATTTTTTTTTTTTAAAAAAAAGAAACGACTAGAAAAATCAAAGTTTTGCTCATTTTGATAGAATACTTCGCATTGAAAGGAGGTTTTGATGCAAGCTTCGTCTACTCAAGAACATCCGAATCAAATTGATCACAGCATTTTCCAGTCTCCAAAAAACAATAAAAAAACACAGTGCACTTCGTCATACAAGGAGTACAGTAGTCCATTTTTCTGCTCAAGCAAAAAAAATAAAAAATAAAATAAAATAAAAAAAAAGGAAAACAAAAGTCATTGCTGATCAAATTTACAAAGCTTCTCCCTGGAACCTTTATTGGCTTAAATCAGCATAAAAAGGTCGATGGTACTGGAGAAAAATTGCTGGAAACTGTAACGAAGCATTTTGTCAAACACCCTAGGAGCATGTAACTAAGAACAACTGACCTCAAGGGCCCGCTTAATGGACTTGAGGCGCCGCAAACGGTTGATAGTGTGGAAAATATCGCCACCGTGGATAGGTAGCCCGTCGCCCATCCAGCTCTGGAAGGCGGTGGCCACGGGCTCACCTTTCCCTAATTTCTCAATACTCAAGCTTAGGCTATTTGCTTCTCCTTGTGTTGGTTCTTCTCCAGATTCCGACGAAATTTCTCTTGCATGATTTAAGGTACCGTCTTGTGATGTTAGAGTGCAGAAACTGAAAGTGGGGCGAAAATCTCTGTGGAGCATAGAATGTATCCCAAGTGTTCGACGTATTGCTCCAAAGGCCCTTCTTTCTAGAAAAACAATGGCTGTGGCTCTCATGCTTCGACTGGTAAGGAAAAATCGAATGCCATCAAAAGCTAAAGAGAGAGAATGAGAAGCAAATTAAAAAAAAAAAAAAAAAAATGGCTGTTCACATAATGGAAATTTGTTCATATGATGAAGTCATAATTCTTATAGAGAATCACGAGGCATTGCCGAAAAAAATGGCAATACGCATGACGAATAGCTTTATATTATGCAAAAATACTTTCGTAATTTGTTAAATAAATACACTCAAATGGTCCTTATATATACTTGTATGAGTGCAGTGCACGGTAAAAGATATTAACTAATATTTTATAAAGTACTATTTAAAAATTAAAAATATGAAATTAAATATGTAATACAATTACCTATTAATTATATTAAGTTTAATTGTACAAAATTACATAAAAATGTCTATTTAAAATTAGTACACAATTCGTGGCTGCACATAATTATAGTAAATCACATTATATTCGTTTCAAAATAAGTATCATTTCAAAAATATTGTTCATAAATTTGATTTGACTATAATGTGATTACATAAAATAATTATTTTGGTAAAACGTTATCATATATGATATATTTAATAACCTACGTGAATAATAAGTATAAATATAAAATTTATATCGCTTCATTACTTAAAATAATCTATTTTTGTGTAAACTATTCAAATAAAAAAATAAGTAGTTGAGTATTATATTAAACTATAAATATTTGACTATTTCGTTTATATCTAAGTTAATATTGACTCGTAAGTTAATGAGTAATTTATTAAACTATAAATAATTGACTATTTCGTTTACGTCCAAGTTAATATTGATCCGCAAATTATGAATAATATTTCATTATTTTAAATCTTAAACAAAAATTTTTATTTTTCTTCAATATATTATATACCAAATTTAAATCATGCAGCTAATAATGGTAATAGCTGCAAGTTTTGTCAATATATTGTATTTCAAATTTAAATCATGAAACTATAGGTAATAGCCGCAATATTTGACGAAAATAATTTGTACATTAGTTACATTAATTTAGGTAGAATTTTTCAAATTTTGTTCAAAAATATTACTCGATATAGTAAATACTTTAGGCGGGAAATCAAATATTATTTTTGCTGATTTTTAGTTGCTATTCCAAGCATTAACTTTTTTTATATCAATAGATAGATAAAAAAAATAATTCATTAATACACCATAAAATGACCATTTTAAATTTTTCCCATAAATTTTGGTTAAAATTACATAAAATAAATATTAAGAAATATTATTCCTAATTTAAATATATTATATTATTTAAAATAGTAAATATAAAAGAATATCACAATTAAATATAATAACATAATTTTGCATTTCATAAAGTTAAAAATAATACAGTCTTACGTAAATTCTGAATTATTAATTATATGAATTTAAAATACTTGAAAATTTAAAAAACGTGACACACTGACTCTATAAATATAAATATAATCACTGTACAATAAAATTTGTTTTATTTATTTTTTAAATGAATCAATTATATGAAGTTTTAAATGATAACAATTTTTATACATATATATTTGTAAAAGTATAATTAAAAATATCTTTTTGGCAATTTTAGTGTAAATTTACGTGCACCATACCATTTGAATTAATTATCAATCTTTTTTATTATTGTTGCATATTTATCATACATAATTTCACAATTAAAACGTAAATTATTTTAATTTTTATTGTAAAAATATTAACATATTTAAGTACCCGTGTAGTACAGGGTATTATATTACTGTTATAAAATAACATAACCATTTTGTTATAAATGATATAGTTGTGGTTAATACGTATATTTAAATATTAGTTTACACTACATGTTATAATTATAAGTTTTCCATGTGCAATTAGTATTGTTGTGTATACGTATAATTTGATTTTTTTTTTTTAAATCAATGTTCTCGTATAACTATGAGACATTGAGTGGGCTGATTGGATATGAAATATTCAATTATGACTGATCATATAAATTTTTTTGTAAGTCACAATCTAATTTAAATTTAACTTAACCCAACTATTATCAATATTATCAGTATAATTAAATAATATCAACCAATTATTCTCACAATATTAATTCTAATTCACTATTAATCCACCCAAATTTTCTTCACTTTAACTACTTATCTCTTACTTTTATATCACATCGACTTTAATAATTATATTTAAATATTATTATAATACAAACGTAAAAATCCAAACAAAATTCAATCATTATTTTTTTCAAAATGAATTCACTTTATTGTATATCCAATTAAACTTAATATATTGTACTAACCAAAAAGTTTTCGTTCATCATGGTAATATGACACAAAGCTAGTCCTATCCTACCTGAACATAACTTTATATCAAAGTTAAGATAAAGATGACTCTTTTTTAAAAATGTTTAAAAAAATCAAATTTGTTTTGGCGGAATTTTGAAAATTTTCAAAATAATTTACTATTTATAGTAAGGGTCAAAATCTTTTTCACCCCATTATAAATCTATTCTTTCTTTTACACATCGCCCCATCAAATAACTTCTTTTACACCCCAAAACTCACGAAATGCTATGCGATATTACACTCGCATGTCCAAATGAACCAGCCCATATCCAATCGACCGCATAATTTATGACAATGCGTAAACATTTCGCATTTTTTTAATCGCATATCCACATCAAACGCATAATTTAGAATTGTGCGAACATCTTTCGTATTTTTAATAATCGCATATACAAATCGATTGCAGCATAATTTACGATGATTATGCGCCTTCTTATCGCAGGGCTATATGAACCTTGCAAATTTATGACTGCGAAAATATTTCGCATCTAATTCGCATAGTTTGTTGAATACGCATTTTATGGTAATTGCATATCCAAGTCAATCGCATAATTTACTAATATGCGAAACAATTTCGCATATATCCTCTGGACAATTGACAATTATGTGACATTTTTTCGCTCGCATATTTAAGAATCGCATAACCAAATCGAATGAAGCATATTTTTTTTTACGATTATGCGCCATTTTTTCGCAGGGCCATATCGACCTGGCAATTTTACGACTATTAGGAATTCGTTCGCAGATCATTCGTATAAGTTGCGCACCTCATTAATTAACTGTTTTTTCACAGATGAGGATTTGGTCTCTGCATTTATCATGCAGGCAAAAAAACAGCGATCTCTAACAATTTAACGCCTGCACCATTCATCTACTGCATTTTTCTGTTTCTTTTTTTTTTAGTTCTTTTTGTTGTTCACTTATTTGAATGGCTAGCAACCGTGTTAGAGTATTGGTGCACTTTGGTGGTTCGTTTTGCGAGGGTTCATATCTTGGTGGAGTGGCAGAGCTGATGAGAATAAATTACGGCCGACAAATGTATTCTGAAGTAGTTTCTCGTGTTCAAGCCTTATTGAAGGCCAATCCTTGTAATTTTGAGTACATATTGTGGGCAGTATTTGATGGAAGGGAACGAGTTGTGCAGATGAAAATCGAATCCAGTGAGGATATCTTAGAGCTGATTGAAGAACAAAAAAATTCCAACATTTACGTGGAGTTGGAGAAGCGAGTAAATGTAGGGATTCCGGGGACGGCGCAACAAAGCTTCACGCAAATGATGGCGTCCCAAAGTGTATCTCCGAGTTCTTTTGGTGTTGGTAGTTCTGCATTTTCCCACGAGGCCCCACGTTCACATCAAGCAGGCCTTAGTTCATTTACACATACTGGATATCCTCGGGGCGCTGATGATCAAACCTCGGGTTGTTCGAACCAACCAGCTCATTCTCGTGACGATGACAATAATAATGATCAAACCAACACACACAATGGTGACTCAGGCGACGAAGACAAAGAAGTCAATGAGAAGCAAATGTTCCTAATCCAGGTACAATTGTCGAAATCGGAATTGGGTTGACCTGCACACATCACACATGTCCCATAATAATCACACAATTGAGTTGATTGCGCGTTTCGCATAACATGTCGCATAATAATCGCACAATTAGGTTGATTGTGCGATTCGCATAACATGTAACATAATAATCGCACAATTAGGTTCATTGTGCGATTCGCATAACATCTCCCATAATAATCGCACAATTGGGTTGATTGTGCGATTCCCATATCATATCCCATAATAATCGCACAACTGGGATGATTCGCCTAGTCTTCAACCGCATAATTAACGTATCATATATCCAAATCGAAAGCCGCATAATTTATGACTATCCGCCATTTTTTCCGCATATCCATATGGACCGCATTGATTGATTGTCTGCACCGCATATCAAAATCGAAAGTGCTTCGCATATTATTCGCATACGTTACGTGTAATATCCCGAGATATTATCAGTATAAATTACGTTTAATTCCGATATAGTAACCTTAGCGTTTATTATTTTCGGAATTAAATTAAGTTTAGTCGGATTACCGAAATTTATTTTCGGCGTATCGTTTACGTCCGAAATAATTTTGGTAATTAAGTATTATGTTTAATTTAACAATTAAACATAAAGTAAGTGATTAATTAACATTAATCACCATCATTAGCCCTTAAGCCGTAAGAATTAGGGTATTTTTACCCAATTTTTTTCCAATTGCCGTAAGTGTCTTGGTGCTTAAGGAAGGATTTTTATCCAATCAAAGTTGGCAACTTGTCAAACAAAGAGTGAGCTTAGTCATTACAAGTTTAAAGAGAGCTTGACAAGTGTTAAGGGGAGAAGATAGCCACATAATCCCATCATCATTCCTTCTCCCACGGCCTTACATCTATATTAGAGTTCACTTGGGAAAAATTCGGTCACTTTCCCTTAGACGCCACCAGACCATATTCAGCATAAATTACGCCCAATCACAGCCACCAAGATCAAGCAATTTTCCCTTCAAGTCCATAGCAAACGCACGGCAAAGACAAGAGCGTACCGCACGGCCGATTCTTGGTGGCGCACGAAGCAAACGTTGAACCATCTTTCGTTCTCCGCCGAGAGAGTAGTGAGGTAAGGTTCTT